AAGAGGGTCAGGCCAGTCTAGGAGCTCCCTCAAGCCCCACAGGGCACCCCACAATTCCTTCTCAACCTGCTCTACTCCCAACCTTAGGCTCCAAAGGTTGCACTTCCCCACACGATGCTTTGCTGATCTTATATGGAGAAAACCAGGAACTGGAATCCCCTTGTGTGGAGTGTTTTGATGGTATGGTTGTTCGTACTTCATAAATCCATGGATTAGGGGCAGCTGGCTGCTTTGGGGAGGGGCTTGGGGAACCTGGAAGAGAGGGCATCTGCCTGGCCTCCCTAGGCTTCAGGCCTGGCTACCAAATCTGGGTTTAGGGCCTGGTAGGAGCGCTACCTATATCCCACCTCCCTCTTCTTTCAGCATCACACCCCTTTGTCCTTTGGGCACCAACCCAACTCCCCAAAAGGCTAGAGAAGAATCCAGGGTGAGTCCCTCACCCACTCGGGGCAGGCTGCGGGCTTCGGGGGAAGGCTGAGATGGGGGCTTCGGGGGGGGCAGACACCCTCAGCACCACAACTTGAGCTCAAACCGGCGTCCACCCCTAGTGTCTCTCCCCATCTTTGGGACAAGTGGCTTAGAGTTTCTGTGTCCCTAGATGCCACCTGGCCTGGAGCTGGGAAGCCAGGAGAGGGCCTATGGGATCCAACTCAGATCAACCCCAGAAAAGAGCTGGGGTGGGACAGGAGCTGGCAGAGCCATGTGTGCAGGGCCAAGAACACTGTGCTGAGGGCGCCTGAAGCAGAGACCCAAGCTCTCCCATCCCTCCTCGCCTCTTGATCCTCACATGTGTCACCCAGAGCTGGGCTGGGATCCCTGGCTCATCTCATCCCAACACCTGAAACGACCTGGCTGTACACATGCCTTCATCTCACAGCTGCTGGCCTTTGGTCCCCCATGATAACTGGTCAACACCTAGCGCACCTGGGTGCCCAGACAGGGAGAATCTCCATGACACCCCCTCGTCCTGCAGCACAGGGTTGCCCGATTCTGCAAACTGCTTAACTCAGCCTCCAGCCACCCTCCAGGCCAGAAGGGTGAGGTTGGTTCTAGCTGACCCGGTGCTCCTGAGGACAGTCTTCTGGGGATTCCTGTGTCCTCGCTGGGTTGGCCTGGAGTGGAGGAGGGAAGTTCTTTGGTTGCTTTTAACTGCTTAATGGATGGAGATGAGGAGCCGTCGTGTAGAGTTTGCCTGCAGCCTGCTGCTAACCCTGGGGTGCCTGTCCTCTCCCGTCCCCTCTGTACACACTGGTGGGTTCGCTCTCAGTGGAGGGGGAGCTGGAGGGCGCCGAAGGGGGAGAGCTCCTGGAGGCCCGGCGAGGAAAGGGGCGGCGGGCCTGGCCTTGTAGTTCCACGCTCCTCCTGCCAGCTGACTCTCGCACTCTCTGTTCCAGTCTGGGGCAGGGTTCCCGGGCTCCTCTAGCCGCAGAACCAAGAGTCTGGGCGGGGCGAGCGGTTTCACTGAGAGGATTCTGGGGTCAGATCCGAGGGTCACGTGCTTGGCCACCTCCCAGAGCGCCGGTCCCAGATCCGCCGGCAGAGGGCGGCCCGGGGCCGGAGAGCTCCTCTCCTGGGTCCCGGGCACCACACTGTGGGTCCCGATGGTTCACAGCTCACCTGACGTTGCTGTGTCTCAAACCTGCACAGTCGTATTGATAAAGCCAGAGTAGCCCGCGGCTGAAGATGGGTGGAGGGGACGGTGTCGCCCCCTACTGCAGTACCTGGGAGAACGGGGGCTGGCCCTCGGACCTTCTAGTCTATAAGGACGTGAAGAACATCCGGGGGAGTCACTGTTACCACTGTGGAGGCGCGCCTGCGCCCGCCGTGCGCGTGTCTGTGTGAATGTGCAAGGACGGGAGGGTCAGAAGGTGTAGTCCCTTTGACTTGGCTCCTCCTCCTTTCTGAGCTTTAATAGCAGGGAACTGATGCCCGGAGAGGGGGACGACTTCTCCAAGGTCCTGCATTTAGAAATGGGGCAGACTCCGCTGAGGCTGGGAAAGGGCTGTCCCTTCGCTGGCTGCTGAGCGTCAGTTTCCTCTGTTGTACACCACTGATCCTGGGCCAGACCCCTGCTTCTAGGGTCACTCCTGAAGGGCCGCATGAATGCGCGTTGATGTCTGGGAGGCAGCTACCCTCAGGAGAAGGGTTTGTCTCTGCCTGGTCCCTGTAAACCGCTCGGGAAAGTGCGTGTGGCTGTTGTGTGTGTTCACCTGGGAAAGCATACCTGTGCCTGCAAATTGTGAGCAGATACATTTGTGCCCACAAAAGGGTGTGGGAAGAGGTGTGTGTGGAAAAGTGACGGGATAGTTGTATCTGTGAATGGTGTGCCTGTATGTGACGAGGTAACTGGGAATTGTGTGTGCACATCCATCCACAAGCACACACACTCATGCTCAGGCACACTGGCACCACCTGCTTTCCTTGCTTCTTCAGGTGAGTGTTGGAGTCCCTCTCATTGCTGGGCCCCACCGAAAGGAGAAACAAGATACCAGCGAGGGCTGGGGTGTCTGCTCCTGGGTGTGGCTGGCCCCAAAGCCCAGCAGGCTGTAAGGGCAGCAATTAGGCAAAGCCTCTGGGCTGCAGCGGGAGGGAGGAGGAGGATTATGGCAAATTCATTTCTATTTTCCAGCCCACTAAGCCTGCAGTGTGTCCCCGTGTTAGCATGAGAATGGGCCGGGGCTCTGTGAACCCCCCCACTCCGACCTACTGACCCCTCTCCCCCCACGTGAATATCAGGACTCTCAGCCTTCCCGGCCTCTCCAACCAGTGCCTGCAAAGCCACGACTCCTAATCAGGGTAATTTAATATATTTTAAGCCCCTGGCGGCTTTATTTTCCCTCCTTTTGGAGTTTGTTTTAGGCATTCACAGCTCTCACCCCATCATTAGATGGCCTTATTTGACGGATGGAAGGGGCTGCTATGAGACCACAGCCCTTTGTGTCCCCCACATAAGCTGGGCTTCCCGTAATTAGAATGGTATTCCCAGCCATTGAGGCCTTTCATGAGGCGGAACAAAAACTCCCCGAGATGAATATCCCCCAACTCTCAACCCCCTGGCCAGAAAAGGGCTGTGAGTTAAAGGGACTCCTTAGGGAAGGCAGTCTGTGACCAAGGACAGCTGAGGTCCTGCCAGGGCCAGGAATTTAGAGGTCATGGGGAGTGGGCACCGGACAAAGACTGGTTGTGGCTGCTGGTAAGCACCAGTCACCTACACACACCTCCCCAGATGCTTAGCCAGCCTCATGGACTTTGGGCCTCAACCCTTGTGGCCAGGGGATCTGCCTGTGCCTGTGAGGCTGGGGGCAGAGTGGAGGGTTCCTGTGAACTCAGAGTTACCCAGACCCTCACTCCAGAGGACTTTGTGGCTAAACACAGAAACACAAATCAGACATAGTTGATCACACACAAACAGGCTTGGTATTACACTGCAGACATATGCACACCTGTGTACACACGGACACACACATGCGCAGCAGCAAGATCACAGTGTTGCAGGAAGAGCCACACACTGCCACCCAGACATAAAGCCCAACTGTAGTCTGTGGTTGTATCCATGCAGATCCACATGCACACAGGCCACCCAGACTTGTTTGCTTGTGAGCACACATATTCCTGCATACATGTACAACCCCAGTCATGCTGTCCCCAGTTCTTCTGCACAGACTATGTCACCCTCTCCCCCCAGGACACAGACTTCCTCTAGCCTCCATCCTGGATCCATGCATAGCCTGTGTCCAAATCCAGAGATGTATGTGCACACACACGTGGACGTGTGCATGCTCTCTGCCTCACATGAACACAGGTAAATACTATGGAGCCAATATGCCATTGCCTTACCAGGGTAGAAACTTGTGACAAACACACAGAAGGGCTCCAGCGAGGAGCTCCTAGCCAGCTATACATGGTGTTGGGAACTCATCCCGCCCCCCCTAGGTGGACTGGACTCTCCTCCTCCTCTGGAATTCAGGTGGTCTCTCATACCCTTTGGGAAGAGAAAATCCCTTTTTTTGAGTTTTCCTGCTTGGACTGGGCCCTAAGAACAGAATGCAGACATGTATCTGGCTGCCTAGTACAGTTGGTACAGGACTCAGGAAAGGCTTAGAGAGTGCTGCTTGGTCTGGTAGTCTGGAGAAGGAAGATCCCAGCCTCTTAACTGACACGTGAGGGAAGCAGTCTCATGAGGAAGCAGTGAATGCTCTATCTCTTTGAGGATTCAAACAGGGCAGGTGAGCTGGGTATGGTGGCACATGCATGTAATTTCAGCATTCTGGGAAGCTGAGGCAGGAGGCTTGTAAGTTTGAGCCCAGCCTGGATAACATAGCAAGACCCTGTCTCAAATTTAAAACTAAGAAAAAAGACTAGGAATGTAGCTGACTGTGAAGGCCTTGGGTTCAATCCCCAGTACATTTACTCAGTTCAGCTCCTAGTCTATGTCAGACCCTGGGCTTGGGGCTTGGACTACAGTGGTGAGTGACAAACAACTGTGCCATTGGAGGAACCTAGTCTTGAAAGAGGAGACCAGACACACACAATTAGTATACATGCCTGGCACAGGGTACAGGGGTGAGGCTGGGTGGAGCAGAAAGCCACATCCTGGCCCTATAGTTTGCACCTTGGAATAGAGTGATAGAGTGGATGGTTTCACATTCCTGTGCCCCAGGGACGGTCACAGCACCTTGGAAGTCCTCATGTTAAATCCACGTTGGATTAGCTGGTTTCCAAGCCTGTCTCCACTCCAAGATTCTTGGACTCCTGGTCTGTGTCCATGGCTTGCTCACTGTGGGACCCTCCGAAGGAGAGGAGGTGCCCCCAGCTCACTGCACAGTGCCGCTTTATCACAGCATGTACAGTCCACACCAAAGCTGCACCGAGTCCATGGCGAGGACCGCAGATGGGGCTGTTCATATCCTCGGGAACAAAGGCGAGATTCCTCCACAGTGAGGAATCTACTTTGGGAGAGGGTGGTTGGTCTGACTCTCTTATGGTTCTTGGTTTTTTAGGAGTGAAGAGCAGCCCACTGAACCCCGCTAAACCTCCTTCTCTTACCCTCTCCCCCCGTTTGGTGTTGCTGAGGATTGAATCCAGGGCCTCTCTGCACAAGTGCGTCACTGCTGAGCTGTACATCCCAGCCAAGAAGCAGTTTTGCAGGGATGGAGTAAGAATTTCAAACTATGTAACAGTAATTTGCATGCTTTTATTTTTTAATCTACTTCCCCTTGGAAATGTGGAAAAACCATTTAACTCCTGAAACTGCTGGTGCCGCAAGCAAACACAGACACAAGAAATGACCAGGAAGCCCCAACATCTCTATGTACAACATTTATCTGTCTCTTTCACAACATTCATCTGTGTCTCTTGTGTTTTTTTTTTTTTTTTTTTTTGCGGAAGCAGGGATTGAACTCAGGACCTTGCACTTGCGAGGCAGGCACAGCGCCACTGAGCTAAATCTCCAGGCCCTGTCTGTGGCCTCTTTCAAGAAAAAAAATTATCCAGGGTTAATTAGAGAATGAGGATACTTTGAAACCACTTTGAATATTTAGTTTTCATTTTCTTTTCCCCCTAGTGTTCCTTACTCTGATATAGAGGTTACAGGCCTGGGCTCCAGAGACAACCTAGGTTCAAGCCATTCACCCTTTTTGTGTCACCTTAGGCACATCTCTTTGGGCCTGCACATCTCCCACTGTAAAGTAACTACCTGTACCTACCACCTTCCAGGGTTGTTAAGAGTTAACTGCCCTCACACCTGCAAAGGATCCAACTTACTGCCAGGTAGTAAGTACTCAATCAGTGTTAGCCGTGGTGATTAATAGAGTGCTCAGTATTTGTTGGGTAAATGAAAGCATTTTTATATTGTTTGCATTCAGGATAAAGTTGTTGGAAAATAATATCATCCTGGCTGCTTCTCAGTGATAACTTGGGCAAGAGGTGAGGAAAGAGTTGGCAGTGCAGGATAGGCAGAGTCCCCTGACATTTAAATAAATTAACCTTTCTGATCTGGGGATGTAGCTCAGTGGTAGAGCAAGAAAGCTCTCAGAGATACAGCGCTTGCCTACCATTCACAAGACCCTGGGTTCTGGTGTGTGGGGGGGAGAGCTTTCAGCCAGTAGGGGCTCAGGTTGTTACCATGGGCACCAGCAGGAGGAACCACAGTTGCTGTAGCTAACCAGATCCAGACAAGAGGCCAGGAAATGACAACCGACAAGGCACCTACTGTGTGCAGTAGGGTAGCACAGAAGTTGAGGGTGCAGGTAGTGCAGTGAGGTGCCCTGGAATGAACGCAGATGAGGAGGCCAGATTTCACAAACATGAGGCCCTTTGGCTGCAGTCCCTGGATTTGGGTGCTGGTTGGACCTGGAGCTGGCAGTGTCCCGTGTTGGAGAGCTCTGCCCACTGTGCCCAGCACCAGGCTCACTGAATGCAGTAGGGAAAGCTGCTCCATGGGAATTCCAGCTGGAGGCCAGGCACTCGGCCCCCACTCACTGCAGTCTGGAGGTGAGAAACCTTCCCCTGTGACCCTTAGCCCACCTTGGCCCCGGACAGGGGTGCCATGTGCGGCCTGGGCTGGACAGTGACATCCCTGATGCCACCTCTAGCCACACAGGGTTTTTCTGTCCGCTCCTCAAGTGAGGTGGTGGTGGGCAGCTAAGGGGAGAGCTCATTCAGGAGGCCCCGTGTGTGTCTGTGTGTGTAGGCATGCAGCTATGCACGCATGGAACAGTTGTTTTTCATAGATTTTTTTAAATATCAGAGCTCCCCAGTCCATCATTGCAGCTAATTAAAAACCAGTTGCGGGGGCCGGGATTTAGCTCAGTGGTTCCACTGCCTGCCTTGCAAGCAGAAGGATCAGAGTTTGATCCCTGGTACCAAAAAAATAAAAATAAAAACCAGTTGCAAGGGCCAGGGATTTAGCTCAGTGGTTCTGGCTCCTGCCTCGCAAGCGCAAGGACTGGAGTTCAATCCCCAGTACCAAATATAAAAACAGTTGCAGGCCCGGGGATTTAGCTCAGTGGTTCTGATGCCTGCCTCACAAGCACAAGGTCTCGAGTTTGATCCTCGGTACCAAAAAAAAAAAAAAAAGAAAAACCAGTTGCGTCTTGGCTTTTAAAAATGGCAGAATCAGTAGACAGTTGAGGAGCAGAGGATGGAAAAGTGCCCCCCTAGCCACAGAGCAGGCGGGCTGCCCGAGAGTGCAGTGGGGCAGTGGGTGGGATCCGGAGAGCTTAGGTGGAGCCAGCCCTGGGCCCCAGGGGCCCAAGGAATGAGGTCAGAGCCAATGGCTCCCTCCGAAGCAAGTGCAGGCATCGAGGCTTTGGGTTTTGGCTCCAGTCTTGGGAGCCTGGCTCTTGCTCTCCCAGATAGTCATGGTTATTGGAGTGCACACATTTTCAGCTGGGTGACCTTGGCCATGTGATGATTTACCAGCCATGTGATTTACCAGCCATGTGAAATACCAGCCCTTGGGTGGGGGTGCTCTGTGGAGGAGACTGTGAGGGTGCAGGAATGGATGGGTCACTGGAGTGTGGTCTCCTTTACTCCTCTTGCACATCTGAGAAGTTTTATTCTCCTGGGTTTACACAGGAGAGAGACAGAGTCTCAGTGAAGGGGAGTTGGGTGTTCTGGCTTCTGGGGCAGTTGGCTGGAAACCTCCTACTGTTCCCTAGACCCCTTTAAAAGTTCTGGAAATAGGGCAGCTATGGTGGCACATGCTTGTAATCCCAGTACTTGGGAGTCTGAGGTAGGAGGATTGCTGTGAGTTTGAGGCCAGCCTGGACTACATAGCAAGACCCTGTCTCAAAACAACAACAACAACAAAGTTCTAGAAATGGAGTGCTGGGTCCCTACAAGGGAAGAGACACACCTAAGGTGACTGAAGTGGGACCCTGGCAGGACAGGTCAGTGTTTCCTATCTGTAAAATGGGAAGACAGAGGCTCAGAGCAGTAGTGTGGGAGCGACTCCCCCGAGGTCATCCAGCATGTGAGGAACAAGATTAAGAGCTGGGAGTTGATATCTAGTCCTGGTCAATTCCCTCCCTCCTATGTCCACCTACTGTCCCTGAAGGGTGGCTGGATCTGAAATGGGACCTATTCAGGAACATTTGAAGGACACAGCCCAGTGCAGGGAGTGTATCCCCTGGATACAGACAGGAGAGGGGCAAGGCTGGCAGGGCTGAGACTGCGTGGCAGCCAAGAATGCAATGATCAGGTCCTGCAGACTTCAGCACTGTGGGCAGGTGAGGACCCAAGTGGTCCCGGTGTGGGCCCAGGGATCCCTAAAGCCAGAGTCCCTCTCTGTTCCCTTTTCCTTCTCCATAGGGAAGCTGAGAGGAAGCTCTTCTTTGGGGAATGGAAACCGGGAGGTCATTTTGAAGAGAAATCAGCAGCACCTCCTGACCCTGCTGACTGCACCTCCAGGACCTGAGTTCTCTTTGGTCCACAGATCCACAGTGAAGTCCCCAGCTCCTGGAAAAGGGATCCTGCTGAGTGCTGGGAAGTTGCCAGTGTGTGTGAATGGCTGGGTTAGCGCAGGTTTTCCCAGCCACCTCACAGAAAGCACCTTTGGGGGGAGCCTTCGGTTCTGGGTCCGGACTGCCACCTCTCAGAGAAGCCACGTAGTTCTTGGAGCACTGTCGGCAGGCAGAGCCACACCAAAGCAATGCAGGCGGCCAGGACACACAGCGACATCATGAACTTCCCCTCTTCCCCAAAACCACCACAGACCTGGCTTCCTTTTCAGTTCGCCAAAGTCTGGAAAATTAACCCGAGAGTCTAGGCAAAGGAAACTATTTTCAGCGGCCTTGCTCTTGGGCAGCCCCTCTTCCCTTCCGGTGTCCCGGAAGTTCCCAGGTGTCAGGCGTAGGCACTCACAGTGACTTTTTGAGGGTGCGCAGCATTGACCTCTACTTTGGAGGGTGCCATACGGGTATCAAAGGAAGCGTGTCCAGAGAAGGAGTCCGGGGCTCCGGCGCAGCCGCTGACCTCTGCGGCTTGGCGGGCTCCACAGAACCGAGACTGCGGGACCGGCCCTGCGCAGAGGCGGGCGGGCGCTGTCCACCCGGAGGTGCTGAAATACAAGTCGCCTGGCGGAGCCGCCAGCAGGAGCTGCCGGTCCCCACCACCTCGGCCAGCGAGACGGGCTTCTCCGTGGAAGGAAAGCAGTTCCAGACGTCGTCATCGCCCCCAAACCTCAATGACTGCCTAACTGGTCTCACTGCTTTTTGTTCCTCAGCCTTTGCTCCACCCAGTACTACTTACTCGAAGTGGGTTTGTCTTTCTTCTTTCTCCTCTTTCCTCTCTTCTCTCTTCTTTCTCCTCCCTCCCTCCCTCCAGCCCCGCTTCCTCCCGCCCTTCCTCCTCCTTTCCTCCCTCCCTTCTTCTTTCTTCTCTTCTATGCTGAGGATCCAATCAGGGCCTCTCACATGCCAGGCCAGTACTCTACCACTGAGCTACACTCAGCCCCAGATTGACCTTTTCAAGAGACAATTCTGATCGTGCTTAAAGTCCTTCTATAGTTTCAGAATAAAACTCAAAGTTCTTGCCACAGCCATGAGACCCTCTGTCTTCCTCAGTGGTCTATGTCTGTCCACTTCCCCCACCTGCACCTGTTGGGACAGAGTGGTGGGTGAGCATTGAACATCTGCATAGGCTTTGAAGAGAGAGCTGCTGAGGTTTGTGGAGGGATTGGAGTGGGCGTGAGGGGAATAGTGGAGTCTAAGGTGAGGTGACTGTGGGTGGGAGTTTGGGGTTTCCCAACCTGGAAGGATGGGGAGTCACACTCACTATCTCTTGACCTCCCTGACATCTTGCTCTGAAACCACACCAGGGTGTGCACAGTAGGAAGGTTCTGGTAGAGTCGAGAATCATTATTGAACAGGCTTGATGAGGCTTCTCAGGTCCTTTACCTGCCCCCAGCCCACTTTAATGACCCACTACTCCATTCCAGGTAAAGGAAAAAGGCTCAGTGTCTTAGTTACTTTATCATTGCTCAGACAAAATACCCAATACCTGCAAGTTAAAGGAGAAGAGGTTCATCTTAGCTCACAGTTTGTAAAAGTTTCAAGCCATAGTTGGCTGGCTCCAAGGCAGGGTGGGATGGCAGAGGAGTAAGAGTGCATGGAATGGCAGGCAGGAAGGAGAGAGTCATCAGGGGAGGAGATATATCCTTCCAGGCCACAACCACAGTGACCCACCTCTTCCCACCAACAGGCTTCACCTACCAACATCACACCCAACTATAAACCCATTGTGGACTAATCCAGCATCACACAGCCATGATCCAGTATCACACCAATGATCCAGTCAGTCACATATGAGCACTTGCGGCTTTGGGGGGACATTTAGATATAACCCATAACACTCAGAGAGATGTGAAGGAAGTGGCCCAAGGTCACACATCTGGAAACCAGCAGATATGGGAAACAACACCAGGTCTTTATTGTGCTCAACAGAAACAAGAGACTCAGTGAACTTCACTTCCAGCAGTCATGTAATGCTGACACCGGCTAGGCATGGAATCCCAGCACTCTGGGAGGCTGAGGCAATTTGGAGCCCAACCTGGGTGACTTAGCAAGACCCTTTCTCAAAAAATAAAGGAAAGGGACCACTGGGGATTTAGCTCAGTGGCAAAATGCCTGCCTTGCAAGCACAAGGTCTTGAGTTCAATCGCCAGTACCATAAATAAATAAATAATAAAAGAAAGGGGCCAGGGATGTAGCTCAGTGTGGAGGGACTGGGTTCAATCCCCATTACCACACAGACAAAAGAAATGCTGAACCAGATTACCTGGGTTTAAATCCCAGCTCTGACACTGACTAAGCCTTTCTGTGACTCACTTTCCTCATCTGAAAAGATGATGGATAGTAGTGCATCCTGCTTAGTATTACTATGAAGATTAAAAGAGATAATGCATATGAAATACTTAGCATGCCAGCTATTATTATCACCACAGGTCTGAGCCCTCCCCTGGCTATGCCAGGAAAATCCAGCAGGTAGACAGGAAAGCCAGGGCTGAGAATTTCCTGCCCCATCAGCTGTGCCAGAGGAGAGAGGGCAAAGGACAGAGGAGGGGCCGTGTGACTGCCTGGGCTAGTGAGCAATTTACAGGAGGAGCTCATTTGGTGACTCTGATTCCAAGTTAATTAAAGATGGCCACCAGCGGTCATTGCCATGGTGACAATTGGGCCGGAAAGGAGCCTCATTAAGGTGCGGTTTTAACAAGGCCACTCATTTTTAACCTAAGATCTTCGTGCTGGAGGGATTTTCAGGTTGCTTCATTTTCTCCCTTTACTGTATTTCAGATCCTTTTCTAGACAGCTCCTCTTGAGGAAGGAGATGGAGGATGATTCCTGGATTCAGCCCCAGGATGCTTCAGCAGAGCAACAGGTCCCTCTGTGGGGCACCCCCTGCCTCTGAAAAGAGGTCTGGTGGGTAGAGGCTCAGAGGAGGGAGGTGGAGGCCATGAGGTCAGAGCCAGAGGGGAGGAGGGGGATTTTATTCAAAAAGGAACTGGAGGACCTTTCTGGAATTTAGAAATGTTGCCTCTGCCATCCAATGTGTTCCCCAAAGTGAGGGAGGTGAGGGGGTCTCTTTTAATTCAGTACACTTTTGAAAGTATGGATTTTTTCTTATTCCCATAGTAATATATACTTACTGAGAAAAATTAGAAATTTCAGAGAAGCACACAAAGAAAACATCCTCTGAATCCTCCGACCAAGATATCATGATTGTCAACATTGTTTGTTTGTTTGTTGAGACAGGGTCTTGCTTTGTAGTTTGGGCTGGGCTTGAACTCACTGTAAAGCCCAGACTGGCCTTGAACTTGCTGTCATCCTCCTGCCTCTGCCTCCCAAGTGCTGGGATTATAAGTGTGCTCCACCACGCCCAACTTGACCATTAACTTTTTGCATGTGAGCAGCTGAGCACGGGCTACAGGGGGCTGGATAGAGGGAAAGGGGAAAAGGGAAAAGACATACTCTTTTCCATTTATACCCTTTCCTGCTGTTAGCATTTTCATCAGAAGAATGTCAAATAAAGCCCAGTCAAAATGGCACCAAATGAAACATTTTTCTATCTATTAAGATGCAGCATACATTTTTCTCTACAAAAATAGGGGTCATGTTGTACCCTGGACTTTGAAGTCTAAATTTATCTCTTCCAGATAACAAGATAGTTTGAGTACTTTATGATTTCTGATTTTTTTTAATTAAAAAAAAAAGCACATTGCAAAATGCTCAAACTATACCAAGAATGGACCAGAAAGGCAAGTTTCCTACCTGGGTGTCCTTCCTACGCTTGGTTCCCCACTGGAGAGGCAGCCAGTAAAATCAGTCTCTTTTGTATCTCTCCAAAGACATTCTGTGTGGGTTCAAGCACAAATGTTTTCTATATCTCCATTTTGTATCAGAGAGTTAGCGCACAATCTGCCCTGTTCTATATCTTGCTCTTTAAATATCATGGTCTCTCTCTGAGTTGGTCCTCTCACAGCAGGTACAGGGTTGTCTTGTTCTTTGTTTAATTCCTGGCAGGTTGAGGTCTTTGGGCAGGAGCAAGAGATGGTACATCCTTCCATGCCCAGCACCCGCCATGGTGATCAGCACAGAGAAGCCCTGGGAAATATTATGGTCAGGAACTACCATGAATGGCGAGATGGCCTTGCTGTGTTTTGAACCTCCTCTCCTCAGGGATGTAGCTACACACAGCTACGCTGACTGACACATGAGGATCTTGGCCCAGGCAACTCCTAAGCCCTCTCCTCCTGTGCCTGCCAGGTGTGGGCTGCTGGCAGCATTTCTGTGTCAGCAGCCCATTGGAGCTTGCCCGTGGGCACAAAACTCCAAGCTCTGATGGAGACCCATACCCTCTCAGCCTCCACCCCACCCCTTGGAGCCCCATACACATTGCCCAGAGGTGAGGAGACACCTAAAGCCTGCAGCTGCTGTGGTCCCTCTGAGATCCGGATTCCAGTCATCTTCAAAGGGTTGGAAACAGGAGCAGCCATGGACACCAACAGCAAAAGGCAGATGCGTCCTTGCTCATTGGGGTGCCCTTTCTGAAGGGGAAACTGAGACTGCAGTCCTCAAATCCATACCACTCAGGCCATTGTGCCCTAGCAGTTGGTGGCTAGTGACACAGGGCAGTCCTCTCACAGGGATGGAGATCCAGAAATGGGGCAGCCTCGATGCCATAGCATCAAGACTCAGGGAGGTCACCAAAGATCCAGGTCCTCCATCTCCAGCCATGTTGGCTTTATCTTCAAGAACATTACCCCTCATGGGTCACAAAGTGACTGTCAGTAGTCATCAGGGCCATACAGGTGTTCATGCCAGAGAGTGAAGATGACAGAAAACACTAAAGGACCATGGCCCTATAATCATCACCAGTGCAGCGCCATCTGCTGACCGGCTCAGACCAACCATTCTTTTTTGTTTGTTTTTGAGACAGGGTCTTGCGATGTTGTCCAGGCTGGCCTCAAACTGGTGGTGATCCTCCTGCCTCAGCCTCCCAAGTGCTGGGATTACAGAAGTGCACAACCACGCCTGGCTCAGACCAGCCATTCTTAATCCCAAAGTGGCAATGCCTCTTTCCATAACAAATACACTATCCTAAAGGAAGGAGTAGACAATAGATCCCACTCACACGTATCATTGCAAAAATGTCAGTACAATGCCCTAACTGCAAAGGAAAAACAAAGCCAGGGAATGATGGTTTGTGCCTGTGGTCTCAGCTCTTCAAGAAGCTGAGGCAGGAGGATCGCTGGAGCCTAGGGGGTTTGAGGCCATCCTGGATAGCAGAACAAGAGCCTGTTTTTAAAATAAAATAAATGGAAAAACAAAAAGGAAATGTATACTATAATAAAATAACATCTATTTCAAGATATGTGCTCAAGCCCGAGTGTTCTAGAAGGCATCATGAAACAGCTAGCTGCTTTCATCTGCATCCAGAATTTCTAGGAATGTGGCAGCAACAGCCACAGACAGATATCAGTGGACTGCTGGGCGATGAAATGCCATCACTGTGGTGATGTGGTCGTGTTGAAATGGCAGCTCTAGTGAAGACACCACACGGGAGAAACCAGAAGCACTGTCGTGCTATAGCAGCCCTTGTGACATTGGAAGGTTAGGTGTGTGTGAATGTCGGGAATTCTAGCTCCCACCCTCCCATCCAGTGTCCACAGCACCCCATGGTTAAGATGACTGAAAAATCTCCCACATGGATGTAAACGCCCCCAGGAAGCCACCGCTTCTCTCAAAAGCTGTGGGTTGGGTGCAGCTAGAGTCCTCTGTTGGGCTTGGGGTGGGGGTGGGGTGGGGGCCTGAACAACTGGAATTCCCTGGGGGGGGCAGGAGGGGTGGAGAAAGGGAGGTCGTCAACAGCGCTACCCACTGGTCCTCACAGGTGGCTGCCCCACTCACAGGTGCCCGCCCTGCTCCTCTCTGGGACTGCCACTTGCACCGGGTCTCAGGAGGTTTTCTCAGTGTCGTGTGTGAGCGTGTGTGATGTGTGAGTGTGGGCGTGCTCACGGCTCCACTGGGCTGATAGGCAAA